TTCAGCCTGGCCCAGCCTGGGCTGTTGCATCTAGAAAATAAACCAGCACAGGGCCAGTCCTGTGGTGTAGCAAGTAAAGCCACAACCTGCCGTGCCAGCATCCCATATGGGTGCTGGATAGAGTCCCAGCTGCTCCTCTTCTGATCCAGCTGTCTGCTATGGCCTGGGAAAGCAGTAGAAGATGGCTCAAGCACTTGGGCCCCTGCACCCATGTGGGAGACCTGGAAGAAGCTCCTGGCTCCTGGCTTTGGATCAGAGCAGCTCTGGTCATTGCGGCCATCTGGGAAGTGAACCAGAGAATGCAAGACCTCTCTCTCTCTCTGTCTCTACCTCTCTCTAACTCTGCCATTCAAATAAATAAATAAACCTTTAAAAACAAACAAACAAACAAAAGAGAATAAACCAGCAGATGAGGGATCTCTCTCTCCCACTCCCCTTCTTTCAAATACAGAAAAAGATTTTTGAAAGTTGATCTCATGGAAGCTGAAGTAGAGGAGCATGAACTCTGGGGGACACAGCCAGGCCACAGTGGGAGACGACGGTGAACCTGACTGTACACCTGTGCCTCAAAGCTGCCAGTGTGTCCTTCCTCAGTTAAGACGCCTCTCTACCATGCTTTCCTACGCTGGCTGTCTGCTCCTTGGCTACTCTTCCATAAGACAACGATTTCACAACACCACTTGCTTTCTGGAGTACAGGAAGAAAATCCTTTCCCTAGCATGATGATCAAAGTTTGTTGTAAATTACAGCTGAAGATTTAAAAGGTTAGCAAATTTACTTCACGTGGAGTTATGACAAAAACGGACTGTCTGGTTGTGCTATGGTGACAGGGCGTGTCCCACAACCACAGGAGTTCAGATCAATCTATTTGATCATGGTCAAAACAAATTGAGCAATGTCTTAAACTCAGATAATACATCCTCCATACAATCTCCCCCAGATTTACTCCTTTGCCCACACATCCTGCCGTGCATCAGAGCTATCTGGGGACATCTGGGTTTTCTCCTCTAGATTGCGAGCAACTACAGGACACAATCCGTGGGCCTTTCATGTCATCTCATGTAACATCAGGCACAGGACCAACCCATAGTAAGACGCAAACAGAAATTCACTGGCTTGAAAGTTCCCATTTTTAAACTTTACTTTTTGAACTATTCTGTTAAGAGGTAACATTTTTAAATGTGGAGGACACATTCCATCAAACAATTACTGAGCATCACCCCTATGTCTGGCCTTGAACTTCTTGAACTTGGAGTTGAAGACCTACAGCCTACTAAAACCCAATCCCTCTCTCAGGGGCTCTCTGTTTAGGAAGATAAGAGTACTGGCCACTAAAATACCAGGGTGATATGCGCACTGATGAGGATGGGGTAGGGAGATGGGGGACCATGAAGAAAGCAAGATGGCAAAGAAAGGAAGTGGATTTAAAACCACCCAATGGGTACAGCAGGTCAAGTTGCCATTTAAACTGGCATCCTGTATCAGGGAGCCAATTCAAGACCTGGCTACTCCACCTCCAATCCAGCTTCCTGCTAATGCTCCTGAGAAGGCACTGGAAGATGACCCAAGTACTGGGACATCTGTCACCCACATAGGAGACCCGGATGGAGTTCCTGGCTCTTGGCTTCAGCCTCGCCCAGCTCTGGCTGTTGTAGCATGTGTGGAGTGAACCAGCAGGTAGAAACTATCTCACTTCCACTCTCGCTCTTTCAAATAAGTAAGTCTTTTTCAAAAGATAAAAATTATCTACATAGAGTGAAGTCAACAAGCCTTACCACCGAGTAGACTGAGCAAGGAGAAAGGCACTGTGATTTCTAGTGGGTCACTGGGCAGAGGCACTAAGAGTGAGCAGAGGCACCCACCAAGCTTTCCAGGATCTGGGAGGCTTGTGGAAGGGATACCACGGGAAGCTGAGGCCAGAGACAGGCCAAGGTGACGGAGGGTGAAGCGAAACAGTGCAGCCTCTGAGACAGGTGCACCTGGCTGGAAGCAGACAGAGGGCAGGCCTTCGCATCGCCATCGGCACTTTCTGCCTTCCCTAAATGCCCGTCCCTACCAGCCCTAGATCCCCCGTCCTGGGCCAGGGTGGTGTTGCCTGGTCTCCGTGACTGTTGAAAAACAACAAGATATAAATCCACGGATGAGCTGCCTCGCCGCGCCAATGACGGAGGGACTTGAGTGATTTAGAGCCAGAATATTCTTTCCTCCATAATGGCTCCTGGAGTCGCCAGGAATAGCACATTTACTAAAATTAATGGCAAACCCTCATTTTTCTTTTTCCTGGGAAGAGAAGTTCCATCGGCGGGGTAATTGATCCTGATCTGGATGTGCCGGAGAGCCGGCTGCAGGTATAAATCATTCGCATGCAACAACTTGCAGCCTTTTAAACCAACACCAGCAGTGACGAATGGTGCAGGCTGGTGACGGGCGGGAAGGAATGCAGACAGGAGATCCATCAACATCCCTCTCGCACGCATCCCACCAGGGCCCAGAATACTGGATCCTTTTTTGTTTGGTCTCCCACCACGGAGCCATTGTTCAGCAGGGCAGGGTTACCAGGGCAGCAGGGTGTCACTGGAGAGCTTTACCACCAGGCACGGGGGGACACTGCCCCCAGCTCTGCCCCTCCACACGGTCCACCTGCCAAGTGTGACTCGATGTCAACGAGGACACCATTGGAGGGCTGGCATTCTGGTTTCCCATACAAGAGTGCCCACTGGAGACCCGGCTGCTCTGCTTCAGATCCGGCTTCCTGCTAATGTACCCAAGCAGGCAGTGGATCGTGGCCCACACAGGCCACTGCTATCCACGGGGAGCCCCACTTTTCTCTTTATTTTGGCGAATTTGTGTTTGGGAGCTGCATTAGTTCAACCTTGATGACCACGTCCAGAAAAGAAGAAAGAGGTGGGGCATGAAAAAGGGGAGAGGAACTTAAGAAAAAAGGGAAAAACAGGGCACAAGAGAGCGAGGGGCGGAGGAAGGGGACCACTATTTCACTTGGCTGGAATGCCCACGTGTCCGGCCAGCTAAAGAAGACGTCAGAGGCTGGGATGTTCTCTCCTCCCAGCCAGAGCGGGCAGGAGCAGGACTCAGCTGCTGAGAAGCAGGGCTGGTAAATGAGAAGTTCATCTTGTCAACTGGAGGAAAGAGCACTGCTCTCTGTCTCCCTCTCTCTCTCAAGGCCCTGGGGGCGGATGAACCGCCAATCAACGGACCTGTATGTTGTCTGGGAACTTCCGTCTGGGGCTGCCTCACCTGCCCCCATACAGAAGAGCCAGGTAGCCAGCCTGTCACCCCCAGACTTGATAGGCATGACTCTGCGTATCGGGGCCAATACCCCAAGAAATATGAGGGTGCTTCAAACAGTTCTTGGGAAAATGGAATTTAAAGCTAAGTGTATGGGGCAGGCATTAGGTGCAGTGGTTGAGACATGACTTGGGATGCCTGCATACTGTCTGAGTGCCTGGGTTCAAACTCCGGCTCTGCTTCCAACTCCAGCTCCCTGCTACTACAGACCCTGGGAGGCAGCATCTGACGGCTCAAGTACTTGGGCTCCTGCTGTCCACATGGGGGACCTGGATGGAGCTCCTGGCTCCTGGCTTCAGCCTGGCCCAGCCCTGGTTGTTGCAGTCATTTGGGGAGTGAACCAGAAGAGGAGAGATCTCTCTCTGTTGGTCTGTTTGTCTATGTCTCTCTGCCTTTAAATAAGTAAAAAACAAACAAAAAGCATTAAAAAAAGGCCTTCTTATAAAGCTAAATTTATTTAATGAAAAATTTTGGAATCCATTCAAAGGATCTTCAAGAAGTTAATGGAAATGTATATTTCGGGGAAAAATGCAACAATTTCAAAACTTTTTTTGCAACAAAATAAACATATTTTAAACCCATTTTCCACTAACTTTTTGAAAGACCCCACTTTTGCTGCAGGAGCACAAGCCGGTGAGATCTGTTACAACGCCCGAGCGGACAGGACAAGGAGGACAGAGTGACTGCATTTAGAGACCTCTGCACCTAGCTGTGGCCGGCAGTGGTCCCAGCAAAGGTCTGGGGTCCTGGACAAATGGGGTACCCCTCAGCCCCCACCCAGCGTCACAGATTCAAAACCCCAGAGCCTTAGGGACGCCCGGTGGAGAGGAAACCAGGGGGTTTCCAGATACTGGGATTCCCGCAGGTGACTGTTCTGGGGGCAACGCACGGAACAGTAGAGAAACCTTCCTATGTACCCTGTGCACCAGCGTCAAGCATAAAATCAGGAGGCTGCAGAGCTGGGCAGCCCGGGGTCCAAACTCTCATCCGGGCGTGGCCTTGACCACGGCTGACGGCCTGCGCCTCCGCCTCCCCTCTTTATAAAGGACACGGTGGTGGCACCGGCCTCACAGCTCTGACGGGAGCGCTTAAACAAGGAACCCGGCGCCTGGCGCTTTCACACACGACGCAGGCCGTCATTACGTTTCCATCTCCGGCCTTCCTGGTCAGCCCGATGAGCTCAGCGCGCGGCAGTCTAGAATTCCTCACCTGTAGCATGGGCGCACTCACTCTGACTTCCCCAGGCTCTTACAAGGATCCTCTGACGGGATGGCCAATAGGGACGTTGGGCAAGAGCGGCACTTAAACACAGCTCCCTCTCTCTCTGTCGCACTAGGCTGCTCTACCGTTGGAGCAGAACGCCAGACACAAGCAAAGAAAAGTCTGGAATCCTAGACGCACGTGGTTGGCATCCATTCACCAGCTGTGCATGCCATTGGCCCACTCTGAGCCCACCCCCATCATCTGCAGCCAATGGCAGCATCCGTCGTCCAAAGCCCCACCCCTTCCGGTTTCTCTCAGTGCTTCCTGCATGGCAGGGCGGGGGGGTGTTGGCCTTCTGAAGCCCCGCCTTCCACTGACTCAAGGAATGTCCTACCCAATCCCAGACCCTGGCATCTTCGACTGACGCAAGGAACGCCCTATCCCAGCCCAGACCCTGGCATCGGCGCCTGCGCGGAAGGCACAGTGCTCACCAGCTCCACGCAGCGCCGGCCGGCCTCCGCCTCCCGCTGCACCAGCTCCTCCATTTCAGCTTTCAGCTCCTCCAGGCGCCGCTGGTAGTACTGGCTGCTCTCCCGCTGCTGCGCCTCCGAGGCGGCTGCCCGCGACAGCTCCTCGCCCATCTTGATCAGGCTGTCCCGAAGCCGGATCACCAGGACCTGGGAGGGGACAGGGAGGTCAGGCCCAGCCTGGGGCAGCGGACAGGGGCCTGGGGCAGCGGACAGGGGCCTGGGGCATGAAACAGGGCAGCTCCAGGAAGACCACGTTCGCCTGTGCCAAGGCGCGAGGCTCAGAGTCCCCGCTTCCGCTACACAGATGAGCGCGGTGTGAAGACGTGGGAAAGGCAGATTGGAGAGGCCGTGGCCTCACGGAGGAGAGCTCCGGGTTCCGGTCCCACCTCTGCCCCCGTTCTGACTGGGCGGTGACCTTGGGCAGGTGCCTGATTCCCAGGACGCAGAAGGCTTAGCTCCCTACCTGGCGGGTTGGATGTGCTGGGTAAGGGTTGGGAATTAAGAATATTTATAGCAGCCCCACGCGGCGGCAGGTTCGGGAAGTGGAGAGGAGAGAGAACTTTGTTGCGCATCCAGACCCCATAAAGTTTTGGCTCCCTGTTTTATAAAGCAGGGGCCTTTGATCGCAGAGGGCCTCCATGTCTGCTTTTCTGGAGTGGGGAATCTACAAATGGCCGCCATGACCAGCGCTGCACTGATCCGAAGCCAGGTGCTTCCTCCTGGTCTCCTACGTGGGTGCAGGGCCCAAGCACTTGGGCCATCCTCCACTGCACTCCCGGGCCACAGCAGAGAGCTGGACTGGAAGAGGAGCAACCGGGACTACAACCCAGTGCTCATATGGGATGCTGGCACCACAGGCGGAGGATTAGTCAAGTGAGCCACTGCCATTTGGGGAGTGAACCAACGGAAGGAAGACCTTTCTCTCTGTCTCTCTCTCACTGCCTATAGCTCTACCTGTCAAATAAAAAGAAAAATTAAAAAGCGTTCAACGAGGATTTGAAACAGCAGCCAGGAGAGCGTAAGTTAGAAGTTTCCCAAACCACTTCCTGGAGGCACCGCATCTTCCGCAAAGACCCAGGATTCTACTAAATCACATCGTGGTGGCAGAATGCGAATTTGGAGATAGACTCTTTCAATTTGACATATTTCTACCATAATTTTTTCCTTCTCTGCTATTGCTTGACTAGGCTAGAGGCGAGTTAAAAATGACATGTGATGTAGCTCAACATGATCTAATCATTTGCAGCACGGTAGATCAGAGCCCCGTGGGGATCCTGCAGAGGCAGCCGTGCCTTCGGGGATGCCTTGAGCCATTCCCAGAACCACTGAGGGTCAAGGTGAAGGAGAGAATTTCTCTATTCTTCCTCTATGGCAGCCTTCCTGGAGACCAGAGGCCCCCTGGAGGTGGGGGCCTGTCGCTCCCCGTCTTCATGGAGGAACGACACAAGACCCTGCGCTGTTCTTTCGTCTGCTCGGCCCTCCCCGGGTTTGCTGCTGGTTCTTCCCGGGTTGGCTACTGTCCCTTCCACCTCCGTGGAAGGGCAGTTCCCCCCGCGGCTTCAATTTCCCTAACATTTTTCTCTACCCGGTATGTTTCCCTAAGTTTTCTTCCAACAATATTCCTCCCTCATTTCTCCTGGCTTCTCCCCACAGTCCGCATCCGAGTCTGTTTATTCTAGCTTTCACTTTCGCCTTCGACCTTAGAGATTTCTCCCAGCTTCCCCCTGTAGTCCGTATCCGAGTCTATGCCTAGGCTTTCAATAGCTTCTTCCGGCACCTTTTTCGTCCGGCTTTTCCCTAGGCTGTTTGCTAGTCTCTCTCTCCGATATTTTCCACTTCTTCCCGTTTCTTCCCTCCTAAGTTTCCTATCCGAGTCACGGCACCATTATGTCGCTCCCCCTCTTCGTGGAGGAACGACACAGGACCCTGCGCTGTTCTTTCGTCTGCTCGGCCCTCCCCGGGTTTGCTGCTGGTTCTTCCCGGGTTGGCTACTATCCCTTCCACCTCCGTGGAAGGGCAGTTCCCCCTGGCCACATTCCCCACTTCCGCAGGGGAGCGGCACACCGCCGGCCGGCTCTCTCGGGGGCTGCACAGGCGTTCCCCTTAGATGTTCCCCTTAGATGTTCCTGGTGCATGCCGTCTCTCTCCTCCTTTATAGTCCTCCTCTGCCAATCCCAACTCGGCTGCCCACACGCCGAGTACGCTGCTCTCCTCCAATCAGGAGCAAGTCCTACAGTTTATTGGCTGAACTGGAGGCAGCTGTGTAGAAGCTGTTTTCTTCTCTCCCAGCGCCATATTGTGGGAGAGCAGATGCATAGAATAAGTCTTAATTCCAGTAACTTAGTCTAGTCCGAGTTGCTCCCCACAGGGGCCGGGAAAGATGACGGCACCGTCAGGCTGCAGTGAAGCCATTTGACCTCCCTGGGGTCACGTTCTCACTCATTAAAGGAGGCCTGTTGCACATGACCCTCAGAGCTGACTTGGACGTGGTGGACAGAAGAGGGTTTGACAGTGATGCTGTCCTGTGTAAATGTCGCTGGTCATTCATTGGTCAACAGCGCTGGGGAGAGGAACCCGTGACTTCTACCCCAGATGCAATATGAACGTAATAACATCACCCCAGCCCATCTAAGGATCCTACCTGTGCTGCAAGGTCCAGCCTCCTCCTCCGGGAAGCCTTCCTGTTCTCCCGCCTGAAAGGACTTCTGCCTTCCCAGAGCTCACAGGCCCTCTCCCTATTATTGGCATTTATATCCCTGTACCCACATCTCTTACAAAGCTCCATGCTTCCAGAAAGCAGGATCTGTGTTACACATTTGTCTTCTGTGCACCTAAAACAGGGCCTGGCACACAGTAGGTGCTCAATAAGCCCCAGTTCGAAAGGAGCTTTGGCTGCCTAGTGGGTAATGAGTAGGCAGATGGAGATGAGTACAAGGTGAGAAGACGGGGTGTGAGGTCAGAGAGAACAGATGAAGAGGAGGAGGGAAGGGCTAAGGAGGCAGGGCAAATGGAATGGGAATGGGTAGATGCGTCAGTGATGGGGGAAAGAGGGGGGTGGGTGGTGGCTGCATGGCTTAGGGGTGGTGTAATAACAAGAGAGAGGGAGGGAAGGGGGCCTGGAGGGAGGAGGCTGGGTGGGAGATGGATGAATAATGTATATCCAAGCAGGAGTAGGTGGATGGGTGGTGGGAGGAAGGATGGAGCTCGCACGGAAGTTCTCATTGCTCCTGCCCCAAGCGGTGTTTCCGTGTCACTACGTACCTCGAATCTCTTAATCTGCACTTTCTGGAACTCCGTCTTGTTCTCCAGGTCACAGATCACCGCCTCCTGCCTGCTGACGATGGCGCGATCCACGGTGGACTGCTCCAGGTACTCAACGCGCATCTGAGCCACCTGCAGCTGAGGGCACACGCAGCAGGGGTGAGTCCCAGGCAGAGGCACCTGCAGGCCCCACGGCCAGGGCCTGGCACTCTGCCTCCTCCTCGGCACAGGTGCTACACGTGGAAGGCCTGCACAAGCCACAACTCCCAGGTTCCACTCTTTAATTTTTAAAAGATTTATTTATTTGAAGGTCAGTTACGGGGTGGGAGGAGAGAAAGAGAGAGTGCTTCCATCTGCTGGTTCACTCCCCAGATGGCCACAGTGGCCAGTGCTGGGCCAGGAGCTTCATCTGGGTCTCCCACGTGGATCCAGGGGCCCAAGGACTTGGGCCATCCTCCGCTGCTTTCCCAGGTACCCTACCAGGGAGCTGGATCCAAAGTGGAGCAGCCAGGCCAGGAAGCGGTGTCCATATGGGACGCTGGCGTCACAGGCAGTGCCCTTACCCACCACGCCACGCCACACCACCAAGCAGGTTCCAGTCTGGGGGCTCTCAGGGGACCCTCACAGCAGACCCTGCTCTGGAGTCTCAGGCACTGGGAGCTGCTGCTTCCTGTGCCTTTAGAATCCAGAACGGAACCTCGCATCAGCACTTCTGTTACTCCCTTCCTTGCTATGATAAAGGAGCCGAGCTGGTCTGCGAGCATCAGGCTCCAGCATCAAGGCACAGGCAACAGTGGGTGCGGGAGCCAGGCACAAAACGTGGCTCCACTATTGTCCAGCCGGTGAGCCTGGGCAAGTCACTTCCGTTCCTGAGCCGCAGCTACCACATTTTCATTAGGAACCCTGAAAGAGACGCCTTCCTGGTACCTAGTGAACGCCCCACAAATGTCTACCACTGCTGTGACTTTTGTGGTGCTGGGGGCACATGCAATGCCTCTTCTGGAGGAGTTTTAAGAATTTCATGGACAGCTGCAACCCGGCAGGCAGTGATGGGAAGCCAAAGAGGTTTGGAGTGCCCAGGGCTTGGAAGAGAGATTTCACAAGGCATAAGGTAACAAGGCCGTCTTGCAAGACCATACCCTTTCTCTGGGACTCGTTTCTCCCAGGGGGGAGAATCCTGCCCTGACCCCAGCGGGTCTCCCTGCAGAGGGCATATTTGGATGCAGAACAGGCCCAGTCAGGAGTGGGATCCCAGTGTGCACTGGGAGTATTCCCGACGCATCACACACACAGCTGCAGTGGAAGGGTCCACACCGCTGCCCAGACTCCTAGAGCAGGGGCGCAGAGCGAAGCCTCCTTGCCCCCCACTGGCCGCACCGAGCACGTACTTGCTCCTGCAGTTTGTGCTTCTCCTTCTTAGCTTCCTCCAGCTGCTGCTGCAGTTCTTGGATCTGCCCGATGTCGGAAGCGGACTAGCAGGACAAAAGAATAATGTCACGCTGATCCCTCCAGCCGTGCTGGGGACCCACCCCTGAAAACCTCTCTGCCCCCACGGGCAGTCGTCACTGTCCCTCAGAGCTTCTGTGGCCATGGCTCTTTCCCCACACCCAACAGGATTCACCTCAGTGTGGACACAGTCACTCCAGTACACGAGCCCCTGGCTTGGGTCAAGTGTCCCTCCCATTATCACACTCCCTTGAGAGCCCAGCCAGAGACATGCTGGCCACAGCACCAAGACCAAATTCTGCAGCAAGGGAGTTCTTGTGAGTGTCAGGGGACTCGGATTCTAGACCTGGGGAACCACATGACTGCTCTGCATCTCAGCCTTCCCATCTGTAAAATGGGCCAACAGTTTGTGCTTGGCCCCTCTGTCTGTGGTTTGTTCTGAGACCCAATGAGGCAGTGGAGAGGAAAAGGTCCTTAAAAGGGGGTAGAAGCAACCGTTGAGCTTGACTGCCTCCAGAGAGTGGGGTGACAAGGCACAGGAGCGTGCCCTCACCTCTGGGTTGCATGTGTGTATGACCTTTATTTATAATGGGTAGGTACCTATGCCACTCCTGTGGCTGAACAAATAAACTTCCACTCTGGACAAAAGTACGTGTGACTCGCAGAGGTGGAAGACAGCACACGCTCTTCTGTGGTGGCTGTAATGGTGATGTCCTTGATCCTTTCCGTCACTGTGACTCCCCGGTTACCGTAAATCCCCCAGCCCACATTCCTGCTGGATACACTGGCAGCCTGGAGGCCATGTTTCCCCACGTATCTACTGGGGGTACAATGTGAGGAAGATGCTCACTGCTCCTGCAGGGAGTTGCTGTCCCCGGTGTGTAAAACAACCCTCAGTTCCAGCCCTAAGCCTCTGTTGCGTCCCCAAGCTGCCATCGTGTGTCCTGACTCCTGGGTCCACCTGCCACTTCTCCTCACCCCTGCTCCACCTGCCCGGCCCAGGACACTCTTTTCCCCAGATATCTGCAGCTTCCGCTTATTTTCCTGCTGTTAACTGTGCACCTGCCCCATGCCGGCCACTCCTCCCAGCTCTGGATACAGCACTGGACGAGGCCCAGGAAAGCCCTGCCACTGCAGAGCTAAGAGTCTTGGGTGTCAGGCTGGCTACTCCTCTCCAACTGCCCCCGCCCCCACAGAGTTTGCTGAGGATTCCCGTCACCCACAAAATAACCACCAAACTCATCATAGCTTCTAGGCCCTGCCCTGTCTCTCCTGGCCTGGCCTCACTGAGACCCCAGGCCACGCTCCCCTCACTGGCCTGCTTGTAGCCTCTTAAATGCGTGCACTGTCACTCAGAGGCCCTTAGCATGTGCTGCACTCTGTCTCTTCCTCTCCCATTTAATCAACTCCTGCTCCTCATTCAAACGTCCATGTACCGTTGCCTCTCAGGGATCGTGTCCATGACTTCCAGCTAGCCCAAGATCCACAGGACCATGTTCATTTCCTTCCAGGGTTCTGGGCAGAGTTTCAAAGTCTCCATTCTGCTCTGGGTGCCTGCATGGTAAGATCTGTCCCACCCAGCACACTGTGAGCTGCATGAGTGCAGGACAGGGACATGCCTTTGCTCCCTGCAGCATCGTCATTCATCACAGAGCTTGACACAGAGCAAGTGCTCAGTATGAGAGAGGGGGAGAGGGGGAGGGGAGAGGGGGAGGGGGAGAGAGGGAGGGGGAGAGAGGGAGGGGGGAGGGGAAGAGGGAGGGAGGGAGGGAGGAGAAGGGGGGGAGGGAGGAGAGGGAGAGGGGAGAGGGAGGATGGGGAGAGAGGG